AGTGGCATGAAGTTCTATTGAGGTTGAGTATAAAGCTGCCATTGATCTAGCAGTCGAGCTAACATGGATTATGTCCTTATTGGGTGAACTTGGTGTTACACTAATCCCCAAACCGATCATATGGTGTGATAACATTGGAGCCACTTATTTGATCGTGAACCTTGTCTTTCATGCATGAAACAAACATGTGGAAATTGATTTACATTTCGTCAAAGACATGGTTGCAAATGGCAGCTCACAAGTAAAGTTTATTTTTATACAAGACTAGATTGTAGATATTTTAACTAAGTCTCTGTCTAGTGCTCGTTTTCGGTTCTTGCAGGACAAACTTACTATTGGAAACCATCCACAGATAGTTTGTGAGAGAGTATTAAGACAGAGTTTTACAAAGAGACAAACTCATGCTCAAGAAAACATGGAGGAGATAAACACTTGCAAGTTCCTAATATTATCCGATAGTCTTATTGATAAATACTTCAAAGTTCTATGTACACTAAACTTGTATACCTATAAAGGACGTGTTAAAGTCCTAGTAGTATACATGAAAGAGCAATATTCATTCGGCACAAACTTCCCGTTCTCACTTATTTTAAATAGAATCCAAATCATATATCTAAATATTATAAGAATGAGAGAGAGAGAGAGAGAGGGATAAAGAATTTCACAGAATCCATGCATGTGGGCATCAAAATAAAATCATTTTCATATATTTGAACGTCAGAGAATTGACAGATGGTTGGACTTGGATATGGTACATATATCTAGATTAGATTTAGCATGAATTTCCGAGCCTTGGAAAGATGGATGATTTTCTTCGTATCAAATTTTCTCACACACATAAGAGTGGTAGCCAGGTGCTTGCTAGTTGCTTTCTTTATCGATATTAGATATAGATGCTATAGGATCAGCAATGCAGAAGAAGCTCACATTTCGACATAGTGAACTCTGGGGATCCCTGTAACAACGTACCATGCATCCTTTGATTGCTGAACACAACAAACCGACCGACCAACCATGATCTTATTATGACCATTCGCGTTTCCTAGAGAGAGGGCTTTTTCTTGAATCTGCTTTATTCCCTTCTTGGTATGCAGCCTTGGTTCTTGCAAAAGCAAAGTCCAAAACACCCAGATTCCTTCTTTCAAGATGGCCAATCTCGATCGGCTGGAATACAAATATTTCTTTGCATTTAGGCATGCAGTTGAAAGAAGTTTCTTAGACTGACTGACTGACTGACTGAGAGGGGCATATATAGATTTCTTTTCTTTTTGTATTGTTTTGAGGATCGGTCCATGATTTTAGGTCAAGAATTCTCTTTTGCTTATTTTACCCACTAGCTGGTTTAACTATATTGCTGAGTGCTTTGTCCACCTTTCCCCAAACATCTTACCAAATATGTCGACAAGTTAAATTGTCAAATTTCGAACTGCATGGATAAAATAGCAGCTAATCAAATCATGCCCTTCGCTTTTTTATCTGAATTAAACATGCTTATGAACAAATAGGATACAACACAACATAATTTTGTTTTGAAAATGTATAAGATTTATTTGATTCCATATTAATTTAGGCGGGGAGAATAATTTGATTTTCTCTTACATAACTTATGCGTAGTGTTTTTGGGTTTTTTTTTTTTTTTTTTAAGGCAAACCGAAGATAATAATTTTTTTAAAAAAAAAATTGTTTATATTTGGGACGAGTCGCGGTTTGATTGATTAATTAGTGAAATATTTAGTTATTATCCAAAATTTTTTTTATTTGATATCTCAGCCTCATCTAAAATAAAAAATGTTTTGAGCAAACCAGTAAGTTATATAATTAACTCCGTATAAATATTCAGCTTCTTTTTTTTTTTTTTTTTTGGAGGGGGGTGATTATACAACTATTCTTGCACCACTTTATGCTTTAATCGAAATATAATTTCTTTTGATGTGATTTTAAAAATATATTATCAATATTGATCTCTAATATTTACCAAAAATTTTTATAAATAAATACTACTTAATTAGGTATGTATAGAGTCTTCAGCGCAGAAACACAGAGAAAAGTGAGCGGATCAGCGGGGACTGTAGGAAGAGAGCGGGATATCAAACTTCCATGCACGCATCATTGAAGCGCGTTCCGTTTAATAGCGAATCACTGGAAACAAGCGCCCCTTTCAGGTCCACATACTGACAAAACAGTCAGTCCTTTGTCACCTAGTTGGTCGTGAAACAAACACGCGCTCTTGGCGGGCGTTATATTGAGAATGGGTCAAACATTTCCATTCCACTCTACTCTCTATATATTTTTGATATATGTGACTGCTCCTTTACATAACACGCTCTTAGCTTCTTCATCCTTTTTTTTTTTTTCGAAATATGGTATTTTCGGATGAATTCATGCATCAATATAAATAATTTTTTTCGAATAATTTTAAAAATACATCACTTTCATCAGCCTAATGTATTTAAATAAATTTATTATATTATTTTAGAAATTGATCCTAAAATTTAAATACGTAAAATAAAAAAATTAATTAATTATCAGTTCAATCCATTAAAATTATTTTATAGTATTGACCATGCTATCATTTTTTTATTAGAAATATTTCTTTGGTCAATATATCATATCTTAAATATACAAGTGACAGTTAATGGTTTAAAACCTATTGGACTTGAATGGTAGGATTGATCATAGCTTTTGTGGAATTGAGGGCCATGTGTACACCTAAAGATGTTTAATTTATATAGCATTCCCTTGTTCCAGACAATAATAAGTAGTCATGATGTTTTTTTCCTTTATTGAATTGAGTGTATATATATGTGTGTGTTGTTTTGACTTTAATATGTCTTATGTCTGATGAATGACGTGGTGTAATCTTCTCGTGCCACCAACAAGAAAGGTTGGCACATTATTACCAAATTATTCACCATCTTTAGTTCTGTCTAATTAAAACATTCACAATAAGGTGCTTTCGTTATCCTATTATTATTGTTGGAACTAAAAAAAAATGTTGTATATGATGAGGCAAGGATTGTGTCTCTCTCATTCTTTGGATCAAAAATCAAATTCTCATCTCTTGAAAGTTATATATATATATATATATATATATAACATTAGACAAGAACAGTTGATGTTTCAAATAATTCAATTTTTAAAATCTATTGAAAGATATGTGTCGGTGAATTCAAAGAATCAAATATTTAGAATTGATAAAAAACTAAATACCATACGATATTATTTTAATTCAAAAAATAATAAATTTAATCTTAATTAATATAAAAATTCAGTCGAAATCATTTTTTATATATATGATTTTTTTAATTAAAACCAGATTGTTAAATATCATAATATTAATATGTAAAAATTAGGGAAAAATTTTCAATAACTAAAAAAAATTATAAAAAACATTCTCTCTCTCTCAGAGTCTCCCCATGTGTGTGCAAAAATTGAGTTGCAGTTAAATTAAATAAACATGCATGTAAGCTAGGATAGGGAAGAGAAAGTTGAAAGTCGCTCAATCCAAGGTGGATCTCATATATATATATATATAAACACTAAATTGCATCTCTTATGGGGTGTCGTTAAAGCAGTCCAAATTCCTTCAAATGAATTCAAGTTACCTGTGGCTTTGTACGTAAGAAGGGATATTTGAACATATTATTGCCTAATCATGTTATCAGCCAATTCAACCACATCATAAAAACGCAGCTTTTTTGTACCAATACAAAGCCGCAAATCTCTGTAACTAAGGGATATTTGATCTGCTGGATCATGAAATGTAATTAGTAGTGTGTGTATATATATAGAAGCACTTTCCCTTTTCCATATGTATCATTAGGATTTTTTTTTCTTTTTTTGGTAATAAAAAAAAAAAAAAAAAAAAAGATAAGTTGGTTATTCTATGTTTTTTGATAAAAAATATTACGATAACATCATACTATTTTTTATCTGAAAACCGTACCTATATCAAACTTGGAGTCTTTCTAACCATAGTTACGAGACGTAGCTAGGTATAATAATCATCAAAAGGAGCAACACCCAATTAATAGTATATATTGCTTGTTATAGCTAGCCATAAGAATTCATTCTGCAGCTTTCGTGGATGCTATATATATATATATATCAAATTGTTGCTGGCAGGATAAATGAATTCGAATTGGTTGTGTGGTGTCACCACGCTTAGGATATTGGGGATTTCGACATGAAAAGATAGATGTTTAACTAATAACTGCAAGTCGATCTTTCAACCTGTAAAATTAATGAATGCATAAAACCCAGCAAATTAAAGGTGCCGTAGGACTCTATTTCAAAAGAGGACGAAACCAGACCAGGTTTTGAGAATAATCAAAGTTGGCTTTTGTCAAGATTTGCCGAAGCAAATCTTTTAACTTGATATATAACATGAAAGTTAAATTACTTGAAAAATTATATAAACATATACACCCACACACAGTTAAAAGCCATTTCATCATCAATATTGGCTTTGTGGAAAAAGGGACAGGATGGTTTTTCTTTTAACTGAACCAGCTGCTTGAATATTTCTATTTATTGCTCTCTCCATTTCCTATACGCTATAGACTGAATACAAAATCTGTGAATGGTTCAAAAATTAGCTGGTTACATTTCAGAAAAACACGATTCATTCTTCTTAATATACATGTGATAAGCTAGCTAGCATTCAACTGAACATATATACTAAAAATAAAGCTTTTTCTTACTAGCATTATTAAAAAGATAAGCTGGTTCATTAATCTCTATTGATTCATACACTCTGCTGGGTTTAAACAAACTAGCTAGCTAGCTAATACATTAGGGGAAAAGTAATTAAACCAAACCCAAACCAAAACCAACGAGAATTACAAGTCCGACCATTCTAGGGTTTTTCTGCTTAAACTCGAACAAGCGAAGTCCTTGATCCATATTCCAGCTAATCCTTCTTGGACAAGATATTCAAAAGTTAATGTCATGATTATGGATCGCCCAAAGGCAACGCAAGTAATTTTCTTTAACTAAAACTATAGAGGATTGCTAGTGGAAGAAGAACTAAAACTTGAAAGATCTGTCCATGAAGTACCACTCCAATACTGATCATTCCCTGGAATTCCCATGAACTGCCTTGACAAATTCAACCCCTGATTCTCTTCCATTTTCACAGAAGCTGACTGAGTAGCTTTAGAACTTGATATCTTTGGTCTTATATAATCAGCTCCACCACCATAACCAGATGGTCCAGCGCCACCTTCGAATGGGTATAACCCAGAAGAAGAAGAATCCAATCCTCCCAGAAAGGGCAGTTGCTGCTCTTGCTGCAACCTCCACTGGTCCAAACCACCCATTGACAAAAGAGAACCTCCAGCACCACCATTACCACCAAGACCAACACTAGCTAATGCATTCCCTATTTGAAAATTCAGGTCACTTGCTCCCCCAACTGGAGTGTTTGAAAGGGCACCATAATTTAACCCAATATCCCCAGAAGAAAATTCAGTTAGATGGTGAAGAGGAGCCATGAACCGCAGGGGCGGAACCTGTGGTCCAAGACCTAACATATCACTGGTCCCGCTGTTAGAAGAGACGGTGCCCGAGGAACAAGAACTGGTTTGACGGTCACCACTTATGGGAGATTTTGAGCTGCTTCCCTTGCTTCTCTTGTTCCTCCTGCAGCCACCTCCAACAGGGACATTCCTTAAGGCACCTCCTCTAGTCCAGTACCTTCTACAAGTTTTGCAAAAGTGGCGAGGCTGGGTGAGACTGTAGTTGTTGAAGTAGCAAAACTTGGTGTTGGTTGATTCACATCTTGGACATTTTAATGCTGCCTCCGGCATAGATATGTTTGCTAACCGTGCTCGATCTGCCATAGAACCCGGACGGATGGATCCTACACCTCCACTTCCATGAGGTTGTGGGGGTTGGGGTGGTAGCGATGGTGGAGGTGGAGGAGGAGGAGGAAGAAGCTGGGTAACCGTACTGCTACTTACTCCAGTTTGGTGATTTGGTTGCTGCAAAATAGAGAAAAAGCAAAAAATCAAATATCTGGTATATTCAAAACAAGATATAAGTGGAAAAAAAAAAAAAACAAAGTAGCCGAATGTTTTTATCTTTCGAATTTTGGCTTTTACGCAAAGAAACCTTAAGACGCAAAAATTGAATAAACTCTTACTTGCTGCCAGTTGGCTGGATCAAGATATGCTGGGAAGGAAGAAAAAACCATGGTTCTTATGAGCTTTCTCTTTTTGTAAAGGTTGATGGGTGATTTTTGTTAGATAATACTAGTGGTCAGTGGAGAATGACACCAATAAGAGGAAGTTCTTCGCAGAGAGAAGATAGACAAAGGAAAGAAATTAAGAGGGAGAGAGAGAGAAAGAGAGAAAAGAAGGAATGAGACTACAAATAAAGGTGAGGACTTTATATAGCTATTTATATCTTAACTTAGTGCTTGTTTGTTCTAGCTTCATACCTTTTTGTTTTATATTGCATTTTAGGGTTCATATAGAATGCGATGTTTCTTAACCTATAAGATTCTCCGTGGCTCTTAGCCAGGAAATAAAGAGATTAATTAGTAGCCTCTCCTCTTGCATGGAAAAATGTTATAATATGTATGATTGTATTGTATAGGATAAGATATGTATGATTGTATGGTTAAAAAGATTTGTTTTCTTTCTTAAATTTTACGGTTAATATCTTAAGGTTAGTATTAAAAAAATGCATCACATCAATTTGAGAGTGAATTATTAAGATTATTCAAAAAAAAAAAAAAACTTAGTTTGAGTCAAAAACATTTTTAATAAATTCAAGAGACTTGATTTGAAAGAAATGAGTTTTGATTATTTAAACAAGTTGTTTTGGATTCAAACTTTATAAAAAACTTTTTAAGTAATTGTATTGGTCTCATGCAATTGAATATCAAAATATTAGTCTAGATTTTTAAATTCAAAATATCCTTACAATTAAAAAAAAAAGAAGAAAAAACTAGCTTGTTGCAGTAATTTGGTCTGCATGGATTAATGTTTGCTAAGCTTCATTAACATAATTAAAGATAAAGAAATGTTACAATTAAAGAAAAGGGGCTTCTAGATGTCTTGGTGACATAGTCACTAATGAATGTTATGTGTCCCGACCGAATGAACCTTTTTCACCGGTCTGGTCTGGTCTGTTTTCTTCCCCACTCTTGCTTTACTTTGCATGGGAATCTTAACGTCATCGTTACTTCCATTGTCTCTTTTGGCCGCGTGGTTTGTACTCTCTAATAGGGCTTGAAGGTGTTCGTGAAACTAATTTGGTGTGTTCTTCCATCAACAGATGACGAGATCACACAGATAATAGATTGGAGACGGCAAGTTCGCATAATCAATAGAGCGCTCAGCCATTTCTTGCTGTGCCAATGTGGATTAAGTAACTAATCATACCTTGAATATTAGAATCTCCTAATTTTCGTTAGTGGGTGTAATTCGTTTAAAAATAGAGTTTTTATTATTATGGTAGTTAATATTAACTTACCTTAATCAATAAGTTGTTAATTCAATAATAAATGAAACCATTAAATTATCTTAATCAACAAGTTGTTAGTTTAATGATAAATGAGTTAATTTCACATAAATTTCTTATCAATATATAAGATTCAAATTCTAAAATCATATTTATTGGAATGAGTTAAATTTGAGCGTTTTTGTTTCAAATAAAATTAATCCTATTTCTAATATTGAATGGATATATTTAGGGGAAAAATATATATAGCATCAATTGTATATTTGCTTATTACTTTTGTAACGAAACCCACTTCTATGAATAAATATATGGTTAATTGGTTAAAAATTATTTTGAATTTTTGGTCAGCATGGTATCAAGCCTTAATCTATTTCTATTTTGATTTGAATCATAAACCTTTTTTTTTTTTTTAAGCAAAGCCATTCTTTTATCTAATCATATGGTAAGTTTAACTACATATACAGTCATGAAAAAGTGACACGGGTTCTAAGGGATAGACTTCAAAGCATATGATGTTTGGTTTAAAAATAAAATAAAAATCAAACAAACAACAGACAAAAAGATGAATTAAAAGCCAAACAACGTTATTAATTTTTATCCTCCTAACAATCTCAATTTACAAAAAATCCTCACCTTTTCTCTAAGCATATTGTTCTTCACTCTTATTATTAAAAGTTGTTTTGTGATCATTATTAAAGTTGGTTAACCACTACAAGAAAATCGAAGAATAGAGATAGATTTTAGCAACAGAATAAAAATCGTCGTAAAACAACAAAAAAATAGAGATTGAATATCATCTATTTGATTTAGCGATGAAATAGAAATGATTAATTTAGCGATGGATTCTCAACAACGGATAATATTACATTGCTATTTATGGTACCAAAATTTTTTTGGGTTTTTTAGAGATGAGGTCACCGATAGAATTGCTAGAGAAATATGTGATGGGTTTACGTTACGTCACTATTTGTAATGTTTTGATTTAGCGACGGATCTATCACTAACCTATCAAATTTATCGTTAAATCTAAAAAAATGAGCAGACTATTTGAAATTAAAGAGCTGCTCATTTGACGATGAAATAGCAATAAAAACTTAATTTTTGTGTCTAAATAGCGATGGGAATGTTTGTGTCACTAGTCATAAAATATGATGGCCTTTGGGAATTAATTGGCTAGCCATTTTGTGAAAGATTAGTGACGAAAAATTAATTTCGATTGCTTAATAGCGACGGAATGTTTTTCATCACTAGTTGTAAAAAAATATACGACTATCCGGAATTAAGTGGTTGTCCGTTTTACGAGAGAGTAGCGATAAACGTAAGTATCCATTGCTAAATAGCAAGAAAGCAATGATGGGATCGCATCCATTGCTAATCTCAATCCTTAATTTAACCCCCCATTTCCCTTCTTCTTTCCCCATTTCTTCTTCCACCTCTCCTCTCCAACCGCTAGCAGCTCTCCCACCTAAAATTGGAGAATATCGATAGTCCTCCAATCCTCATCAACCCATACACTCTCTAAACTTCTTTCTCCCTTAAAATTCATCTTTTTTTTTCTTCCTTCCTCTCCTTCTCTTCAAGTTTGAATTATTAAGTAAATTTTCTCTCTTTTATTCTTTAAAAGTTAGTTATTTTCATAATTGTTAGGTGAATTTTAAATTTAATTTATTGATTTATAATTTTTTTATAGTTTTAATTGTTCATTTTTTTGATTAATTTGTTAAATTGTAATAGATAGTCCCACACAATAATGGTAAGTTTTTTATTTTTATAAATTTACATCTATTAATATAATCTAAAAATATATATTTATGATTTTATATAAGAATTATTTTAATGACGCAAGAGCGCATGTTGTCAATACAAGAAGCAGCTTGTTAAGGAGCAATAAGAGGGTGATTTATCATCTTCAAACATTGATATTTTTAAGATATATTTGGATGTTGTAGGAGAAGAGAAGATGTAAAGAGTGTACAACATCGGATCATAGACATCTTAGTATTACTTTTATTCTGACTCTAGTTCCTCGCTCTACCATTTTACGGTATCTATATGCTAATAATCGGGAGGTTTCTAACTAGTACAAATATAGGATTGACACTACAAGTGCTAGTTAGCAATGAATTTTTCATCGCTAATAAGAAAAAAGTCATCACTAAAAGCTTTTGGTGATAGACTTGCAATAAAAAAATGCTTATCACTAACCTTAGCGACGGTAGAGAAGTATTCATCGTTATATTAGCGACAATTTTTTCATCATTAATGCACTTTATTCCATTGCTAATTGGTCACCAAAGACGTCATCTCATGCATCATTATTCCATTGCAAATTTTATCTTTAATTAACGATCAATATTTCGTTACAAATATTTCAAAGCTAATTTAGTTATCGCTATTTCATCACTAGTTTCCATGCTAATTCGTCGCTAGTTTATTTTTTTAATCGATAATTTATTTTTTTTTTGCTTTTAAATTTATGATATTCTCGATAATAATTAACAATTTTAACAAAAAAATATATTATTAAAATTTAAATATTATAAATTCAATTTAAATTAATATTAACAAAAAAAAAGTATTTGGTAGCACAAAAGAAAAAATAAAATAAAATAAAATGTCACTCCCGATCATCTAATCCCCTCTCTACTCATAGGACTCTTCCTTTTAGTGGTCGTGTGGGAGGGATAGTGGAATCCCGGTTGGTTGACGGATCTAGAGATAACCCAAATGTTTATGCCAGTTTATTCAATATGAAGCCAAGCGATTTATACTAAGACTTTAGTCCATGTATGGTATGCTACTATTGCGTGACAAGATTTTACAAATCGTCTTATTTGGACTACATTACCTCCTTCATCTCCTCATACTACTTTTGAACCTCCTTATGAGAAATGTCGTCGATATAATACTACTACACAGTAACATGAGTTGGCATCACTTGATTGAGATAAATAATGCGATGCTTATATGCCTATTCCATATAGCCTTTTTCTTCTTCTTTCCTATAGCCTTAAGGTATATAGCGTTCTTGTCCACCTATGGCTTTGAGATTCTTTCCACTTCGTCGCTTCGTAATAGCTTCTCGTATGAGCTTATCAATGCACTCTTGCATTATCAAAATAGTTATAACATCAAAAGATTAAGAAAAAAAGGTTATATTTGCATATATAAAATTTTAAAATTAAAAACATTTACCATTGTATGCCGAGCATGTAGATCAATAAAAGAGTCATCTCATTGCTTATGAGTGGCCCTAAACGACTTCAAACTCATTAGCTCACACCTCAATTTGATCATCTAAAAAAATGAATCATAAACAATATGAGATACAAATTAAAATTTCTTAAACGAGTTAATAATATAAGTTATGATTTACCACGCGATGAGTGTAACGCCCTTAACTCGCTTACTATGTCCTAATAGGAGTGGCTAGGTTTGTTACATTATTAAGCCTAAAATCTCAACTAGTTCCTTATAATACATAACTAAAATTAAATAAATATTAAGCAATGAAATACATATAATAAAATTTATAAAGTACTAATAATTACGATTATAGGGATTACAAAATGTCTACGATGTCGAATACCTATAAATAGGGGAATAATATCCCTTATCTACAACCCTTCAAAAGATTCCTCTAATTTTGGGTAGCACACTGAGCCCTTTTTGTGAGAACCGACAGACTTCCTCGACAGAACTATCTTTGTCTCTACTTGTTACACA